GAAAGACATTTTACAAACCCACAAATGTTTTAAAGGCAGACTGCACAGCTAGGCACTTGGTTTAACACCCTGGTGACAGTTGGAATGAAAAGGGCTGAATTTAACTATCGAGCGAAATGACCAAATATTTTTGTCCATATAGTGTATATGTTGAGAAAAATATGGTAAACATAAGTGAGTAAGTTATTTGCAAGTCTGAAAAAAATCATACTACAATTATAAGGAGTTAACGTCACCTTTTCAAAAATCACTGGGCTCCAATACCTGTTATTCTCAGACATAGTATCAATTAAGAATATATTGCATATGTTATTGTATATAACCAGGAAAAAAAAACAATACTCATCACCTTTAGTGCCAAGACTAAGGTCAAAATTCTTTTTAAAAAGTTGCTGTCTCAAAATATTTGTAATTATCCTTTTACTTTTTACTTATGAAAAGGAAAAGTGTTTGCTGACCTCACTGAGGTTGTGGTAGCTAGAAAAGTCAAAGTTATCAGTGTTTCTGGGCTCAGGGACACGGGCTGAAGCAGACTCCATTGCTTTTTGCTCCTCATCCAGCAACACCTGCAGGACAGTAGCATAGTTATATGACCTCTATCAGAGAGGTACTCTCAATCTCAAATCCAGGTGCATGAGTTAGTCCAGGTTGATTCCAGGTGTCATACGCTACCTGCAAGTCTTTAATCATGGTGGAGAACTGTATATCGTAGGCCTTCAGGTAACGTTTGACCATCTTTAATTGATGCACTGGAACTCTGATATCCACAGGAAAGCCCACATCACTCACTTCCCTCCAGATGTCAAGCTAAAAGAACAAACAGTCATTATTCCCCAAACTGAGTTGAATTGCAATCAGTTTATTAGAAAAAAAAAGGCTCGGCATAAAAAAATGGCATGTCATGTGACATAACTGAATCTGTTCTTTCCATTTAATTTTTTTTAGATTTGTCTTGACAGTGATGTCATGGGTGATAAATAACCTCCAGCTCTATCATGTTGTGCAGGTCCTTGATGAGAGACAGATGGCCATCACTCTTTGGAACGAGTCGAAGGACCTGATGGCTGCAAAAAGAGAACCACACTGTTTTACTGTTTTTTACTCAACTCAAGCATTTGCTAAGAAATTGGTACAGAGAGGGTGAATAATGGTTTCTCAAGCTTGGTGGTTGCTGCTTCTTCAAAAGTTGAACTGTGAGAAATTGTCGTTTGTTGTTGTTGTTGCTGTTAGTGTTTTCCAATGTCCTAGGCTCTTTCAAGGTGCCAATTTGTATGAAAGGTGCTCTTTAAATAAAACTATACTGCTTTGAATGGGAATTCATGACTTTCCAGTGTTCAGCTGATTGCATTAGGGAGGGAAAGCATTACACTTTAATGTCTGTGAAGGTTCTCAGTCATCCAGGTCATCGTAGTCAAAGGAGCTTGCAAAGAAAAGCGTCTGGACTTCTTTAAGTTACTTGAAGACGTTTCA